GAGGCAACACCCCTACCTTCACTTTTCCTAGCACAGACAAGTTTGCTGGCTGGGAAGATGTGATAGATATATCACTTAAAACTAACAACTGTATAATCGAGGACTGGAGGGTATCTAGCAAAAGGTCGTATTCTGACCATGCCTGGATAATCTTCACAGTGGGATTCGAAGTTGGGAATCCCAAACCTTTTAGGAACCCTAAAAGAACAGATTGGGTTAAATTCAGAGCCATCGTGCGGGCCAAGTTCATGGTCATGCCCGATATTAGCGACTATATTAACGAAGTCGAAGAACTTGATGCGCAAATCAGTAGATTTGAGAAAGTCATGGGCGTGGCTTTCAGAGCATCCTGTCCTTTGAAATATTCAAAAAAAAAGTATCCCCCGTGGTGGAACGAAGACTTGAGTAATCTCCGGAAGATTACCAGGGATGTCTTCAATATCTGCTACAAGAATAGGTTCTGGCAACCTTATAAGGAGTGCCTGAGAGAGTATAAGAGGGCTATCCGTTCCGCTAAAAGCCAGGGTTGGAGGGATTTTTGTGGAACTGTAGAATGTACCAGGGATTCTGCCAGATTGGGCAGAGTGCTTTCCAAGGACCATACCAGTCCTTCTTTTCTGAAGGATGGGGGTGGGACATGGACAAAAACGTCTATGGAAACTCTCAATTTACTAGTGGACACGCATTTCCCGGGTAATACCGGGTCGGCTCGGGAGGCTATCCAGTTGGATTCCCTTCCGGGGCAGCCTGTGTCGAGTGAAATGGTTGAAGCTATTATAACGGTAGAGAAGGTTAGCTGGGCGATAGATAACTTCTCTCCGTATGAAACGGCGGGGATAGATGAGATATTTCCAGCTATGTTACAAAAGACGAAGGAACTAATAGTTCCGTGGCTTCTAAAAGTTTTTAGAAGTTGTCTTATCCTTGGATACGATCCCAAGTCGTGGAGACGTGTAAAAGTTGTTTTCATTCCCAAACCGGGAAGAAGGGGCCATGAGGGCGCCAAAGATTTTCGACCAATTAGTTTGACTTCCTTCGTTCTAAAAGCGCTGGAGCTCGTTCTGGAGCTAGGGCTCAGGAACAGAATGAAGGAAGTTCGACTTTCGCCTTCCCAGCATGCATATTGCGGGGGAAGGTCCACAGACACCGCACTACACGAGGTAGTGAGGACTATCGAACAATCTATCCATTATAAGCAATACACGTTGGCGGCCTTTCTAGACGTGGAAGGTGCTTTCAACAATATTGGTTCGTGGGCCATAGAAAATTCTCTGACTCAGTTGGGTTTGGAAGATGCTGTGGTACGCTGGATATTATCCATGCTGCGGACCAGGATCCTGTATTCGGATCTTGGTGATAGTAGTGTTACAAGTTACATTAGTAGAGGAACGCCCCAAGGTGGGGTGATTTCGCCGCTTTTGTGGCTTGTTGTTATGAACGAAGTTCTACTGCAACTTGACGAAAGGCGAGTGAAGGCAGTGGCATACGCTGACGACCTAGTAATCCTGGTTTCCGGCTTTGACCTTCCAACAATCAGTGGGGTTTTGGAAGGATCTCTAAATGTGGTGAGCTCTTGGGCTAATAGATGTGGCCTTGGAGTGAACCCCGCCAAGACGGAACTTGTACTTTTTACGACTAAGACAAAAATCCCGAGCTTTAGACTGCCTTGATTGGGTGGTTTGCCGCTCAGTTTGAGTCCAACAGTTAAGTATTTGGGAGTCATACTCGACTCTAAACTTAACTGGAAGCTTAACGTGCAAGAGAGGGTGAACAGGGCCTGTACGGCACTTTACACCTGCAAAAAGATGGTCGGCAGACTAAAACCTAGAATGGTTTTATGGTTATACACGGCCATTGTACGACCTATATTAACTTACGGTTCACTCGTGTGGTGGCCGGCGTTGGAGAAAGCTTACAACTGTACCAAGATCGGTAGGGTACAGAGGGCTGCATGCATAAGCATTACGGGGGCATTGAAATCGACGCCCACGGACGCTATGGATGTACTAATCCATTTGCTTCCACCAGACATCCACCAGACACCATATTAAGAATCTGGCCGCGGCAAGCGCCGTTAGACTCAGAGAAGCTGAGTGCTGGCACGAAAAGCCGTATGGCCACGGCAATGTCCTTCAGTCACTACCGGACGGAGTGGTTGCAGATGCTACGGACTATTGTATCCCTAGACTTGAGCTTGACAAAAAGTTTCGAGTTGAGCTTCCGTCTCGCGAGCAATGGAAGAGAAATCTTCCACTGCAAGGCTTTGATATTGCTCTCTTCACTGATGGTTCCAAGGATAGGAATGGGGTCGGTGCTGGAGTATTTTCAGAAACTCAGAACATATCGGAGTCATATCGCCTTCCCGACAGATCAAGCGTGTTCCAGGCGGAAGTATTCGCCATATGGAAGGCATGCGAAATCCTGGGAAGGGTTTTGGTTGTGGCCCGGGAGGTCGCAATTGTGACGGATAGTCAGGCTGCGATTCTGGCTCTAAATTCACCAAAGATATTCTCAAAGTTGGTAGGGCTTTGCTACGATGAGCTGACGAGATTGTGCAGTCATCATAGTATCACCTTACTCTGGGTTCCGGGACATAGGAACATACCAGGAAACGAGCGGGCTGACGAACTGGCCAGATGTGGGTCGGCATTAGACGGCTCCAGGGCCGAGCGAGTTCTTGTCCCTATAAACACCATCAAAACTGATATATATCACTTCCAAATAACATGTGCGGACCACAAGTGGAGGGGCCTGAGCACATGTGCAACGGCTAGGAAAACGTGGCCGAAATACGACCATAAGAAATCAATGAGCCTCCTGGCGATGCCTCGACCGGACATAGCTAAGTTAGTGGCTGTGTACACGGGGCATTGGCCTGTGGGGGATCATGCAGCTAGGCTGGGAATGCCCTTTAATACGTCATGCCGCAGTTGTCGGGAGATAGACAAAAAAGAGACGCTTTTTCACTATCTCTGCGAGTGTCCGGCTCTTCAAGGGGCCAGGTTGTTGTCATTTGGGGAAACGGACATAATGGAACTGGGGAACATTTCTAGTAAAAGTATCGGGGACGTAGATAGGTTCCTTAAAAGAACGGGGTGGCTCTGATCGCTGGCCCTGGACCAACGTACTTTGACAACCGGGTTTCACGAGGCGGTGGTAGCAAAACGGCACGTCAGTGCTAATTGGGGTGTTGGCCAGTTGGGTCGCACCAGCCACTCTAACCAACCAACCAACCAAGAAAATGACACTTTACAATTGGCAAAAATTGTAATTTTAAACCCGACTTAAAGCTTTGATACGTTTTGTTAGGTCAAACGTACGTGTCTGTATGTAGAAAAATTCATGTTTTTTTATGAATTAAAAAATATCACATTTTTAAAAATAAAATAAATTTTATATAATATAATATACACAGTAATTTTCACCAAATTTCAAACAGGCATTACAGGCATATTAGAAGACTTACGAGCTAGAAAATAAAATAGTTTTCAAGGTCAATTAAAAAAAATAAAAATTGATCAAATACTTTATATAACTGAGTCAAAATCCTGAAATTGATTGATAACTGAATCCAAATAAAATGTATGCCTGTACATAAATATTATATATGTATATTTAAAGCTTATTAGGTTAAGTACTCAATCGAAAAAAATTTATTTAGTTAAATTGATAGTTTTCTAATAAAAAGAGTGACCATGCGGTCATTAATTAATGTTTTTGTTCATGATTATTTAGAGTGTTCATATATTTTATATTGCAGTTATGACCACAAAAATCAATTGCAGAAAATGTAAAAGGTTCCTTTGTGAGACCATATATTAAATTTTAACTCAGTTATTTTAATAAAAAATGTTAACCATACATAATTTGCTCTTAATATGTATGTAGGCTAAATGATAAGTCTCGAGTTCAAAAATTATGCCTTGTTGTTTTTAGAAATATTTTCTATAAGATCTATTTGTTTGGATTTCGAACTATTCATAGATTATTCTGTTCGTATTTCCGGTATAATTTGCTTTGGCATCATATACATAAAATATGACATATGTGTGTATATAATATATAGTTGTTTAAGATTGTATTTGTAACAAATATTTTTAAATTATTTTTTGTCGCATTAATTTGCACTTAATCTTGTATGGTAAAAATTACAAAATACAGTTCTAGGGTTTTTTAAAAAGTACCGAATTGTGTATGCAAACATAATTTACACTTTCATATCACATGTTAAATTTATGTTTCGTTTTTGAATATAAGAAAGGTAACTTAAGAAAACATAAAGTAAAACCAAAACAAAAGAGAAATTGAAGGGAAGATTATAAAAATACTTGTTAAGAATTTGTGGAATACTTGCACATCACACAAGTATCACATACAAACTACAAACTCGAACATATTTAAATTTTTGAAAAAAAAGTTATTGTTAAAGAAAAATTTTTTTTCAAAAATAAAACCTTCTGACATTACCAAGAAAAACATATGTTTCGACAACTGTAAGGTCTTAAAAGTTTTTAAAACACTAAATTTTACTTTACAAAACTTTGAATATTGCGAAAATGAAAACTTCATAATTTTCTCTCATTTGTCTTCAAAAAGTAGTATCCCAGCCGCTTTAAATATTTTTTGCAGTATCCCAGATGCATGCAAAAACTTTATAAAATTTTTAAAAGTTTTAAAAAACTTTCTTATACCAGACAGACCCATTAATTATTTTTTTAAACAGTATAACATACGCCACTGTAACCATATCTCCTTAACATATAAATGGAAAATTAGATATAACATTTGGCAGAAGAATTCCGTTTTCAATAATAAAAGTATTACTTGTGTTGATTTTAACTCTTATATCTTGTTCACTGATTTGATGTTCTCGTATTTTCTACTTGTATGTCATGCAAGAAAGTTTGATACTAAATTATAAGCAGGGCTTTATGATTACAATTTAGTTGTCAAAAGTTACCTGATATCTGACTGAGTGATGTTTGTCATACATATTTTTATTTTTTCTTGTTACATTTTCCATTCTCTTCTGATACAATAATAATTTTTATTCTCCGTTGTGATTTGGGCCATATTTCAAGATGTTCAGCGCGGTGCGAGCTGCCTCGAAGGCAGATAAAAAAATTTTATCTTTTTTAACACAATACAGTAAGTTTTTTTTAGTTATTATAGTGTTTAAAGAACAAAAAAGTTATCGAAACCAAGATTAAAAACAAAAATTTGAGAAATATTTGATTAAAAAACAAGAGATTAATTACCTTTAAATACCAAAAAATGTAGAATTTGTATAGGTTATGTTCTCGGATAACATAATATGTTGTTACATAATCAAAATTATAATTTTAAATTGATAAAAGAACATTTATTAACATATTTAAAAAAAAATAAATAATTGAGCTAAATCGATCAATGCTTTTTAAAAAATTAAGAACATTAAGTAACTTAGTGGATGAAAATAAGACTTGTTTTATTACTTATATTATGCAACCTTATAAAACTAACTTTCTTTTATTCATACACATTTGTTACAAAACTTATATCTAAAATGAATTTTATCTTGGATATTATATAATAAATTAATCAAAAAAATGTGTATAAAATTATGCAATATAATATTTTTTTAGATCGTGGGTATGCTGCAAAAGCCGCTGGTAAGGCTGCTGCTGGCTCAAACGGCCGTGTGAGTAATTGTTGTAATTGAATATATAAACATATGTGAAATATAATATTGTTTTTATAATTTAGGTAGTAGCTGTTATTGGTGCCGTTGTAGACGTCCAATTTGACGGTGAACTTCCATCAATTTTGAATGCTTTAGAAGTAAAAGATAGACAGCCACGCTTAGTACTTGAAGTAGCTCAACATTTGGGTGAAAGTACTGTACGTACTATTGCTATGGATGGTACTGAAGGTTTAGTACGTGGCCAAAACGTTGTTGATACTGGTGCTCCAATTCGTATTCCAGTTGGTGCGGAAACTTTAGGACGTATTATCAATGTAATTGGTATGTAAAATAATGTTGATGTTTTTTATTTATTATACACCATAAATCTATAATATAAGCTCAAACTGATTTTTTTAGATTATTACTATTATTAAAAATATAAGTGGAGATTAAAATTAACATGAATTTAATTTTAGGTGAACCAATCGATGAAAGAGGTCCAATCCCAACTGATAAATCTGCTCCAATCCACGCTGAAGCACCACCATTTGTTGAAATGAGTGTAGAACAAGAAATTTTGGTCACTGGTATTAAAGTTGTAGATTTATTGGCTCCATATGCTAAAGGTGGTAAAATTGGATTGTTTGGTGGTGCTGGTGTAGGAAAAACTGTACTAATTATGGAATTGATTAATAACGTTGCCAAAGCACATGGTGGTTATTCCGTATTTGCTGGTGTCGGCGAACGTACACGTGAGGGCAACGATTTATACAATGAAATGATTGAAGGTGGTGTTATTTCGTTGAAAGACAAAACATCAAAGGTAGCATTAGTATATGGTCAAATGAATGAACCACCAGGCGCTCGTGCTCGTGTTGCTTTAACTGGTTTAACTGTTGCTGAATACTTCCGTGATCAAGAAGGCCAAGATGTATTACTTTTCATTGATAATATTTTCCGTTTTACTCAAGCTGGGTCTGAAGTATCAGCTTTGTTGGGTCGTATTCCTTCAGCTGTAGGTTATCAACCAACATTGGCAACTGATATGGGTTCTATGCAAGAAAGAATTACAACAACTAAGAAAGGTTCAATTACATCTGTACAAGCTATCTACGTACCAGCTGATGATTTAACAGATCCAGCTCCAGCAACAACATTTGCTCACTTGGACGCAACAACTGTCTTATCACGTGCTATTGCTGAGTTAGGTATATATCCAGCTGTTGATCCATTGGATTCAACTTCCCGTATTATGGACCCAAATATCATTGGAGAGAAACATTATAATGTAGCACGTGGTGTCCAAAAAATTTTGCAGGATTACAAATCTTTACAAGATATTATCGCTATTTTAGGTATGGATGAATTGTCAGAAGAAGATAAATTGACAGTTGCCCGGGCACGAAAAATTCAACGTTTCCTGTCACAGCCATTCCAGGTTGCTGAAGTTTTCACTGGTCATGCTGGTAAATTGGTGCCATTGGAACAAACAATCAAAGGTTTCTCACAAATTTTAGCTGGTGAATACGATCATTTACCTGAAGGTGCTTTCTATATGGTTGGACCAATTGAAGAAGTTGTAGAAAAGGCTGACAGATTAGCTAAAGAAGCAGGCGCCTAAATAAATTAAGCTTGAAATTAACACTCCAGTGTTATAAGTAATATTAAAAAAATTTGAAAAAAAAGAGAAAAAAATATAAAAATACAATTTAAATAAAAAACTTTAACTATGAATGATGAAATATGTAACCATCTCTACACAAATTGAATGGATCATATAAAATATACAAAATCAATTGCCCACTAGATTACCGTGTTTTATATGGATCATTCAATTCAAAATTTTTAAATGTATTTTTAATAAATAATGTGACCCGCGACAAATTAGCTAGTAATTAAATTAAAATATGAAGTTGAAATTTCCTTTGTCTAAAGCGTTTAAATAAATATTTCAAAGCTGGAAATTAAAATTTTTGTGTTTAATTTTAATAAGTAAATACTTTATTAAAATTGAAAGTGTACGTCGTACAGATATAAGTGCAATATTAGATAGGGTTCTAAAAAAATGGCATATTTTTTTTCGAGTAATTTGTTTCTATCAATTATATTAATACAATCAAGGAACAAGAATTCACCGTCGAAGTTTTCCGTAGACAAATCAGCAACAATAGAAAACAAAATTAGCTTTGTTAATAGAAAATAGAAACTTTTAAACATTTTTTTGATTATAAAATTTGTTGTATTTCTATAAAAATATTAAAATTCAGATTTTTTTATCAAAATAACGGTTCTTAAAAATGTTAACTGTTTTTTAGAGTGATATTGCAATAAAAAAATTAATAGTAGGTAATAAATACAGCTTTTAAGATCAATAGGAATCAGAAGTAATGGCAATTTTTTGGTTTTATTATTGTCTTTTAAATCTTAACAGAAAAGGTTTTCGTGCTGTATCTCCTGTACCATAAAAGATTTTTTAACACTTAGTAACTCTAATTAAAGCTGGGGAAAGTGACCAAGATTCTGTAAAAAAAATTCAAAGTTTCAAAAAATTTGGTAGAAAATTATCTGGGTAGAAAAAAGTGAAAAGATAAAAAAAGGAAAAAATTACATTTTTGAAAGTTCGAATGCTTGTTTACAACGCCTTTCAGAAACTGTTTGATTGAAGGCCCTATGTTTTTGGGAACGGAAGTTATAATCAAAAAAACCTGGATAAGTAGAAATTTTGTGAATATTCGTTAAAATCTGTGTATCTCGGAAACCCTTGAGATTTCGCCTACCCCGGAATAAAGTTTTACCCATTTGCGACCTTCTAACCAATGGTATATGTTGTTGTATACCTTTCTGAATCAAGGAACAAGAATCAAGGAACCTGTATATATACATATGTAAATTATTTTAGTTATTATACTTTGAATTACTACTGTAATAGTATGATTTTAATAATTTGGCTTCAAATTTTCATATCACACATCAGAATATTTTGTAGTTTGAAAGCTAATTATGGTTCAAGAACCACTTATTTAGAATGGTTGAAAAATTCAACAACCTTTTTCAAATTTAGATTTATGCCGTTATTATGAACATTCCGGCGGAATATTTTGTGAATAAGATTTTTCTCAAGGAATCCATGTTAACAGAGAACATTTTACCTCAATTGAAATCTAAAAAGCTTTTTTTAAATTTTTGAATTTTTGTATTTTGAATTTCATTACAGTAGGTTTTGTTTCAGATTTTATAGTGCAAATAATGTCTTTATATCTCTAATGTCTTTATTTCGTTGCCTAATATTAGGCAACGAATTAGAATTGTTAAAGGAAGGAACATCTTTGTTTCTATCTCGTTTATACTCTCAAAAAAAAAAGTGAAGATAAAAACTTCAGGTAAGTCTCTTTCTTTGCTCCTAGCATTATCAAACTGAAATTAACAATAAATACCAAATGTTCTTGTTTTTTTTTCTTAGAAAATTAAGTGCCGCTATATAAAAAGTAAACAAAGAAGATTTTGTTATTTTATTTATAAAATGAGTGCAGTTTGTAAATAAAAAATCATAAAATATTTAATAAAAAGTGTTAAAAAAGAATATTATTTTTATATGATGTAATAAAACCATTTGTAAAAACAAATATGTAGTTTTATTACATCATATACATGTGAATATTATTTATTTCAATAATTAAAAGAAATATTTTTTCAATAGTGCTTTGCTTAATTCATAATTTGTAATTTTATTAAGTTTTTAATTTTGCAAAGAAAATATTTGTTTTTGTTTTGTTTTTTAAATTAAAATTACTTCCAATAACATAATTTTATCAGGATCGGATTTTTTTAAGCAAAATGAGTTTATTGTTTGATTGAAAATGTAGCATACAAACTAATATTTAAATGATATTTTTTTTTGTATAATTACAGTTTTCCTAGAAATGATGAAATGAAATACATATATTTTCCTTTATAGAGTAAGGATTTGGTTACCAAAAAAATATATGAAGACGTCCCGCTGCCGTTGAATTCAGTAAGTAAAACAAAATATTAGCGTGAATTATTTAAATTCTAAAATATTTTGTTTTAGAAGGTAATAGTATGTGAAGCTCAATTGAAATGAATAAGGAAGAATACAACAACATACCATCCACTTCAGTGTGTGATAATTATCATATTAATTAAAATTTGTTAAAAATTATACTGTTTTAGAGTTATTAAAATTTATATGTAAGTATTTATATTTATTATTATAAATATTGTTTAGAGTTGTTCAGTAAAATTGTCAAACAGAACTGATAATATAAGAAATTTTTTAACAAGTTTGTTCATTTTCGAGGATCATAAAATATTGTGATATTAAAATACTTATAATTACAATTTATAAAATAAATTTATACAAAGAGAAAAAAATAATGAGATTTGTTTAAATTTGTTTTTTTTTTTTCAACAGATATCTAAAATGTAAAAATATTTTGAAATATTTTTTAGTTTTTACTTTGAAAAAAATTTTTCAACTTATCCTCCTTACAAATTACACGTACATATTTTATAGTAGAGGCCAGACAAGAAAATAAAATAAATACGCTCCTGTTACAACTTTGACAATGCTCGAAGCAAAGAAAGAGACAACTAGAAAAAATTCTGCTTCCTTTAGTATTTCTAATTTGTTGGTTAAAGCACTTAACAAGTAATGTAATCCGTTGTTAACTGTAATAACATTAAAATTTAAAAAACAAATTGTGCTAAATGAAGTAAAAATGCGAAAATGCGATCTTATTGTAATTTAATTTTTTTTTTAATTATATTGTTTTTATTTACAACAAGTATTCTTTATTTATAATTTTATACAGAAAATTGTTTTTTTTTTGTTTTTTTTTTTTTGTGGTATTTTTTGTACATATTACTATATATGATATTTTTATTTAATTGATGTTTTTGTTTTGTTAATTTAATTGATTTTTTTCAGCCGAAGTATATCAAATTGAATAAAAAAACTACTTGTTTTACATAATTTTTTTTATTTTCTTTGGCACTATATGCTAATCAATTCTTCATATCTCTGCAAATATTTTAATAATAAAATACATTATTTATCTATAAATATAAATTAAATTAGTTTTTTTTTGTATAATAAAAAATAATTGTTATTTCTTTTTAATTTTCTTTATAATAAATGCACATATTGTATATAATTTTTTTGCTTACATCATTTAAAAAATTCTTTTCATATAATTTAACATTTTTAATATTTTTTTTAATATAATGTATTATAATATGATATGTATATATATATATATATATAAATATATATGAATATTCCTATACTTATAAATACATATACATATATGCATACGTAGACTGCATTTTAAATATTTTTAACCCCATTTTTGAAATAGGCCAACCCGTTGACAACGACAATTAGAACCCCATAAATTGCAACGACATGAACTACTGTGACAGCAATCATGTGGTCTAAGATCACAATTTCCCCCACGTGGTACACATGATCTTCGTATAAAATATATTGATGGTGTACGCCTGTGCGAAAGATAAAGAAAAAAAATTAAACGGTTATTTTATTAAAAAAAAATCCAAAGAAAATTGTATGTACAGTCGAACCGCAATCGAATTGTATACGCAGTTGTAGAAGTAATACGGTTTTGAGAAAAACTGCTTTAAAGCAATCAAAAACTTTTGTTTCATATATGTATTTTTACACATAAATTTACACAAATAAATATTCACATTGGAAAGCTTCATTCATTAAAAGCATTTAGTTTAGGGAAAAAAATAGTTTGTGTATGTCTGTGCTCGACTGTATATCAAAATAAAATTTCGTGTTCGACTACTGCTCTTGCACACCCAGTTGTTAAAAGATTTTCACGCATGATTCAATAATACAACAAATAAAGATAAACATTTCTTTAGGTATAAACGTCTATTATATCACTATATAGTGCTATTTCCGACCTGTACTCGTATTATAGCACCATACAGGAAGTACTAAGATAGAGAACTAGTTATTTAAACTTTTTCTATTCAAATTTCTTTAAAATTTTTTATTAAAAAATTGAAGGCTGAAAAGGCGTGTAACACAAAAGTTAACAGTTAAAAATTTAATATAAAAATTTAATATACTAAAATTTGAATTTGTTTTTGCAACACAATCGTTTCATAGTGTCATATATGTATTTGAAGATAAGATATTCTTTCTATTAAGAAAAATAAAGAGACTTTTACATACTCAGTTTAGCACTGTCAAAAAGTACGCACATAAATACTGTTGCAATATGCGTAACATTTTTATTTTTAAATTTATATTGCGGAAAAATAAGTACATGTATGTGCTGATAATTTACTGGGCGGAAATCTTGTTTCTTACGGCGTTTACAGTGCCAGAGTTTATCAACAGTCGAGGCATATGACTGATGATGAAAATCATATAAAATATCTTATTGGTCGAGGTGAAAAGGGCCAAAAGTTCCCAACGCAAAAAGAATGGGAAAACTTTTATTTAAAACGAGATTAATTGAATAAATTGACTTTTTGCCGACCGCATTGTGTATATAATAAGGTAGGTGATGTGATGGCAACAAATTTTGCATATTGAGTTTTTGGTGGGAACGTACTTCTCGATGGTAGGGGAAGTGTGAATAAACTATTTTTAGAAACCTGTTGGTCTATCGGTCGGTCTATCTGTGTGTGCATGCGTGTGTCTCATGTTTGGCTTTTGGAACGATCAGGGCTGGGAAACCGAATTTACATTTTTTATTATATCTATGAGGTGGTCGGATGAGTAAGCGACAGGGAAAGCGTTGACCGTTTGTTCTATGGAACTTTCCAACGCCGCAACTGTGACAGCTGCCATCAAGTGCTCATTACACCTCCACGTGGTGACCACCGGGCAACGGAACCAAGTTCTGGCCAAGTAGTGAGTGCGAAACCCCTAGTCATAAAGGCTGACAACCTTATACTAGTATTCTTTTGTCGTGGAACCAACAAATACGCCTCGGATAATAAATAATCAGATCACACGGTATAGACCCAAGCATGCACTTAAGGATAATGATTTTAGAATTACGACATGGAATATACGTACAATGCTACAAGCAGGAAAGCTCGCAGAAATTTCTGATGAGCTAACTAAATACAGGATTAAAATAGCTGCCCTACAAGAGATTAGATGGCGAAACTATGGTAAGCTAAAGAAGAAAAATTACTCAATTTTCTATTCTGGAGGAGAAAGGAGTGACTACAATGGCACAGCTTTTTGGGTAGATAAAAAGACTAGAGAAAGCGTACTTGCCTTCGAACCAATAAACGAAAGAATAAGCTATTTAAAACTAAAAGGCAAATTTCAAAACATGTCATTAATAAATGTCTATGGCCCAACAGAGGATAGCGGAGAAGAAGATAAAGATTCTTTCTTCGAAGATCTAGATAAAGCCTACAGAAAAATTAGCAGACATGATATGATAATAGTTTTAGGTGACTTAAATGCAAAAATTGGAAAAGAAAGTTTTGTCAAACAGACGGCTGGACTACATTCGCTTCACGATGTTACAAATGAGAATGGAACCCGAGTATGCAATTTTGCGCAAAGTAACAATATGTGGATCAGCAGTATATCTTTTCCGCATAAACAGATCCACAAGCAAACTTGGAAAATGCCGGGGCAAAGAGGCGCAAATCAGATCGATCACGTGCTGGTGAGCAAAAGGCATGCGACTTCCATAGTAGATGTTAGAAGTCATAGAGGTGCAAATTGCGATTCGGATCATTATATGGTTACAACAAAACTCAGACAGCGATTGTCGAAAATTTCTAGCACAAATGGATATAGAAAAGTAAGATGGGACTCTGAGAAACTGGCCCAAAATGAAATTGTTGCCAAGCGATACGGTGAGAGTGTTGCCCAAAAATTGCGGCTGGATCCGAAAAGTGAGTTGAATGTATCATCTCATTGGGAGAACATAAAATCAGCCATAACACAAGCTGCAACCGAAACAGCCGGAAAAAAGCAGAGTCGGGAAAACGAATGGTATGATAATCAATGCAGAGAATTAAACAACAGCAAAAACGAAGCTTGGAAAAAATTCATGAATAGCTCCCGCCAAAACTATTATGAATACAAAGAAAAACGTAAAGTGGCAAAAAAATTTATGAAAAGAAAAAAAACCCTTTTTCTGAAAGACAAGATAAAACTAATCGAAGAGAAATCCGTGCAACAAAAACCCAGAGGAATGTATCAACTGGTAAAGCAGCAAACAAAATCTTTTCAACCCAGATTAAATATATGCAAAAATAAACAAGGTCAGGTTATCACTGAAGAAAAGAAAATTTTAGATAGATGGAGAGAATTTTTTAAGGAACTTCTTAACAAAGGCGCGGGCTCGCCAGCGGAAGAAGAACAACCACTTCATCTAGTTGATAATTTAGTCACACCTGTAACACTGATTGAAACAAGAAATGCAATCAAAAAGTTGAAAAATGGCAAATCAAGTGGAGAAGATTCTATCACTGCTGAAATGATTAAATATGGAGGAGATACATTAATACAAGAAGTGCATTTGCTCATGAGAAAGATTTGGGAGCAAGAAATTATTCCTGATGAATGGATGTCAAGCATCATAGTCCCAATCCATAAAAAAGGGGATAAAACCCGATGTGAAAACTATCGCGGCATTTCTCTTCTTAGCACGGTGTACAAAACTTTTACAAATATTTTGTACGAAAGAGTACAAATTTATGCTGAAGAAATAATTGCTGACTATCAGTGTGGTTTCAGAAGAAGCAAATCGACCACCGATCAATGCTTTGTTCTCAGTCAAATATTTGAAAAATTCCATGAATTTAGATTAAATTTACACTGCCTGTTCGTAGATTTTAAGCAAGCCTTCGACAGTGTTAATAGAAGTAAAATTGAAAACATTCTTTTAATGCAGGGTTTGCCAAAGAAATTGGTTAACCTAGTCCTCATGACGCTAAGAGGCACGAATGCTAAGGTAACAGTACAGGGTAAGGTCACCGATACCTTTGAAATTATATCTGGTGTGAAACAAGGTGATGCACTTTCCACAACTGTGTTCAACTTGGTTTTAAACTATGTCATCAAGGAAGTGAACCCTGGAGGTACCATACTAAACAAATCGGTACAAATATGTGCATATGCTGACGACGTGGTAATACTGGCGAGAAATGTCTTTGAATTGGAGCAAACATTTATCAAAATGGAAAAATTGGCAGAAAAAATAGGTCTAGCAATTAATGAAGAGAAAACAAAATATTTATTAAAATCAAGCTCTACCTCAGAAAGCAGAAGTCAAAGACTTATCATTGGAAATCATAGTTTCGAATGTGTTGACAGTTTTACCTATTTGGGAGTAAAATTTGATAAATATAAGGACACAGAAGTTGCAATACAAGAACGAATACACGCAGCAAACCGTGCATTCTACTCAAATATCAAACTGCTTAAGTCCAGTCTCTTATCAAGAAATGTAAAACTAAAACTATACAAAACTTTAGTAAGACCCGTTCTTAGTTTCGGTTGTGAGGTCTGGACACTGAAAGCGTCAGAAGTGAATCAACTTGCAATCTTCGAAAGAAAAGTTTTAAGGAAAATATATGGACCAGTACAAGAAAATGGGAGATATCGCATAAGATATAATCATGAACTTGAGTCGTTGAGTCAAAACTGCAACATAATAAAATTCGTGAAGGCTCAAAGAATCAAATGGTTAGGTCATGTAATAAGGATGTCAGACGACGCAGTAGTAAAAAAAAATATTCAAAGGTAATCCAGTTGGAAAGAGAAAACGTGGACGTCCTAGAAAAAGATGGCTTGACTCCGTGGAAGAGGATCTGGTTAGGATGGGTGTAGCTCATTACAACAGAGCTGCTCACAACAGGTCCGATTGGCATCGTATTTCGGAGGATGCATTGGCCCACCCCGGGCTGTAAAGCAAAGAAGAAGAAGAAGATTATATCTATGAAACGGATTGATGGAATTTTTTGAAATTTGATATTTGAGTTCTGGTTGTTACCGAAACTAATTGGTGAGTATTTTAGGGAATTCGGATGGCAAAAATAGAAACTCTACTAAGAGCCGAATTTATATTTTTCTAGGTATGTTAACTAAAAGCTTACTAACGCCCAAAAAATTGGACAGAAGTATACAAAAGGCACAATATTCTGTAACATTTTCACTAGACAATACAGATTGCGGTCGGTTATGTGCTGACATCAGATTTTTTTTTAAATATACTTACTTGTCAAGGTTTAAGTCTTCAGACAAATCATTATAGTTGATGTCATATATCATATTTGCGTTTTCTATAAATAAATGAAATATATGTTAATTATAATTAAGAACAAGAAAAAAATCGGTCCAAGAAAAATACATTGACTTTGTAATATTAGGAATATGTTATTAATAGACAATTCAGCATTGTAACTTGTATTTGCTTAATTATGTATTAATCCAATTTTTTGCTAAATATTACAAAGTCAGGAGTATTAATCGACTTTTAGCTTACCCGCTTTTGTAATACATGTATTCGGTTCTGCTAATAGCAAAAAAAATATTAATGCTTTTAAAGTTTTCTCATACATTTTTGTATGTATGATAAATATGTGTTTATTTAATCTGAAAAAATAAGAAAAAAATAAAAACTCAAATTAATTTATGATTTTATATATAAATTATGTTAAATTAAAATATTTTATTTTTTTTATTTAAAAGGTAAATATTCAGAAATATTTTAAAAATCACAAAAACTAAATAAAAAAACATAGCAAAATCCCTCACAACGTTCATGTATAAACCACATAAATATATAAATGTAAATTATGGGACATTCTTTATCGTACAACTGCATGTATACATAACGAAATTAAAGAAATGAATTGTTTGTTTACAAGCAGTTGTATCCTAATTCACAGACATCTTTGTATAAGACTTCACAATACACAATATACTAATTATACATACGGTGTATTGAAAATTGGTCATCGTACTTTTTGTTAAGAAATATACTCTTATAAAAAAGTTCATGGTGATTTGGGATGTTTGAAAAATTAAAACGATTAAAAATTAATACAGAAATTATTTTATTTCGTTTAAATATTAACAAAATTAAATTTCATGTTCTTACTAACTAGTTTCTAATTACAGGTAACAAATTAAATTATAAGAAATTACAGGTAGCAAAACATTTTTTAGGTGAAACAAAAATAGTAAATACATAAAACAATTGTTTTTAAAAAAAAAAAGTTAAATTTACTTTTTTTATTACCTTCAAAACATATTTACATAAAAACATCAAATTTTTATTCCATTTTTCTTAAAAGTAGTAATATTTGATGAGAAGACCTATAAACTTTGTCATATAAATATACGAGTACGTATGAATTAATCTAAATTACACAAAATTATTTAATTTTTGAGATTAAATTACTATTTAAATTTTTACAATTACGATTTACTTATTCAAATTGTTAAAATCTTAACATTAGAAGGTAATTAATTAAATTATATTTGCCATAGGCGACAGAATAGAATTTAAAGTCCTTGCAAATTAAGAATACTTCGTTGGTATCGAATTCCTTTTCCTAATTCTTGTATATATATATATTTATTCCTGATAACCTCGTTCTTTAGAAAGTAAATGTAGGTATAGCATTTACGTTCTTCTTTTCTCGTAAACTGTTGCTTCTGCATCCTTTGACGTAACACTTTCGGGACTATTCTATTTATATGATCAAATATACTGTGGCCCGGTAGTCGAGTGATAAAGTACTCAGGTATAGAAATTTTACAACCGGAGGAGCGTGAGTTCGAGTCCCACGGGAAATGCAATTAATTCATTACCATATTACTCCATCTAATATCTAATACTAATTTAAAAAGGGAAAGATGCCATAACTGACTCTGGGACAGACTATGACTTTAAGTTACCGTATTATCATATTAATTTATGGAAAATTTCAGTACAATGTGTTTTTCAAAATACTGTGTGTTTTATTTTCTTTTTTTTTGGAATTAAGTATTAAAGAATTAATATTAGAAAATATTGGTATGTCGGGAACATTTAAAATTGTATCAACCAAAGAGAACGGTGATTCTTATTTTACCAATTCCACGCAATGTTTCGGGTGAACAAATACAAATAAGTTTTTGTAAAACAAAAACTTTATCGTAGCCAAAACTGCTTTGGAACTTGAAAGTAGCTTATGCTTAAGTAATTGGTACTTTGCAGTAGATTTAAAAAAGTTTTTGGAATGATGTTTTTTTTATAAAAAGTTGGGTTGTAGTAGCTCTAAAATTAAGTAAGAATTATGTTTTTGGAAGTTAAACAGCGACGTACCGAATAACAAGATTATTATGTTCATTGCCACGTTCCGTGATGCCATGAAAATCACTATGTCGAGAAAGTAGCTATTAAAGGTAGCAAAAACGTTATTATTTCTTTAATATTCACTACATAGAGGCAGTTTATTTATTTATTTTTTTTTACCACGTTGTTGCAAATTTTAGTATTCGCTACGTTTTCGCCACTTTTTTTGTGTCAAAAAAGTTTTTGTGACTTTGTATTAGACATTAAAGTAACAAACAGCGCGGGTTTGCGACTAATTTTTGACCCAGTGGAAAATAGATGGCACATTGTCACTACTATTGCTGCTTAGGATAGAAAAGGTAACCTGATCACGAATACACAAGAACAACTTGCAAGATGGAGGGAACATTTCAACGAAGTAAACGAATTAAACCAAAGCACCCTAGAAAGGGAACCAGAGGATTACAGCAACATTGGCCACTTCAACAGGCCTCCATCCCAGAACGAACTAAGAGATGCAATTATGAGACTTAAAGACAACGAGTCCGCAGGTGCGGATGGAGTATCGGTTAAGCTGTTTAGGGTTAATCCTGATCTGACAGCTACAATACTCAGGCCCATGATAGATCACCCTGCTAAACACATTACTCAAAGTGCAGGGCCTAACTGTCATGGGCAAAAATGAACCAAAAATAAACAAGGTACTCAGAGAAGAACAAGCCGGATTCTGTAAAAATAGAAGCTGCATAGACCACTCTATTATAATAAAATTATAATAAAATAATCAAATCTCAATAATAATAGAACAATCCAATGAGTGGAGTAGCCATCTTTTTTGCACGTTCGTCGATTTCAAAAGTGCATTCGATAAGATAAAACATGAAACCAGCACAAATGCATTACACCACAAAGGTGCCCCCAGAAAAATTGTAAATATCATTAGGGCCATGTACGAGAACACGAGTTCCAGAGTATTGCGCGACGGCTAAGCTAAGCACACCTATCCAAATAACATCAGGTGTCAAACAGGGGCGTCCTCTATCACCGTTTCTCTTCATCGTAGTGCTTGGTGACATAATGAAAAAAGTAAATATGACGCCGAGGGGCATCAGGTGCCGGTTGATCAGCAGACTGGAAGACCTTGAGTATGCAGACGATATCTGCCTCTTAGTTTTAACACAAAATAAACATACTAGAGAAAGAAGCTGCGGGAATCGGCCTTAAGATCAATACCAACACAACTAAGTGCCTGAGAATAAACAATGAACCCCTTCAACTATAATACGAACCCCTACAACATGGATATGGTTGGGACACACATTGCGAAAATCAGGTAACACTATAGCCAGGCAAGCATTAGATTGGCAAGTGCTGGTCGGAAATAAAGCGTCTAGATCAAAATAGAGTGCGATTGAGAGGATTTGTTGAAGCTCAATGTTCCCTCCGGGAATGAACAAAGGAAAGAAAATCAAATATACGACTATATTTTATTTAAACATAATTAATTATATTTAAATAAAATATAGTCTATTAATATTTATAATTTATTCAATATAACGCATAACAATTCTATGTGTCCATATTAACATATATATTTTAGCTGCGTATAGACATATATAAAACTAATACAATAGGATTATTTTATAAAAATTCACATAGAAACTCTATTAAATTTCATCTTTTTTTGAGATAAAATTAAAATTTTTTTTATTGGGATATGAGATTTTTTTTCTCTAAGTTTTAGCTCTTTTAATTCTCTATAATTGGGAAAATTCTAAAAAATGTAAATTCATTATTAATTTTTGATGGATCGCGTTAGATGTCAAAAAATGATTTCGGTATGAGTTCCGATGCGATGGTATGTTTGCAGAAGTGAAATAATAACTTATTCTCATAATATAATTATATTTATGTATGTGTAGAGTATACTAACTTAGGTATGTAAAATTGAAAATTTGTTTTTGGTACAGCATCCTGTATTTAAGTAGACACCATGTCCCAGTAAGATTCAATTTAAAAAATTTTTAAATTAAAATTTCAGCTCTACGTGGTTTATTATCAAATATTATACAGGTGATGTGATATTGGTAAATATATATTTCTTTATTCTTTTCTTTATAATAGTTTTACACAATAATTGAAAAACTTTTTCCAACATACCAAAATTAAATTAAAAAAAAATAAAATTTCAATCACGAAATACACGATTTAATTTCTATATTTTCAAAAACTTTTCACATCTTTTATACATGGATATTGAATAGATAAATTATTTGTTATTGCATATTCTTCACCGACCGCATTGTTAATACAATAGGTATAGGTTATTTGATGGCAACAAATTTTCCATATCGACTTTTCGGTGGGAACGCATTTCTCCAACTGTAGGGAAGTGTAAATAAACTATTTTTAGCAACCAGTCTCAACGATTTTGTGAAATTTTATATGTAAGTTTATTTCGACTACGGAACGGATTGATCAACTTTTGGGATATATCAGGCCTTGTGAACTGAACCTTTTAATGCTCCTGTTTTACATTTACATTACTTGAAATTTCATAAATAAGCTTTAATCGAACTTACGCGGAACGTTCTAGCTTTTGAAATGAATCAGTTTAGTCAATTAACTATTATTATTATTATTATTATAAATATTTTGTGTCATCCGCAAAACTAATTAGTCTACAATCCGCTACAGAACCCGGTGGATAAAAAACAGTGGAACCAAATGGTAACAACTAATAAACAAATCTCCTTATATAAATCCTATAAATCGCTTTATACATGTACTAATACTTAAATCTTAAGCTTTATTTGTAAAATAGTTTCAAAAGTGCATGTAGAAACTATTTTTGTATTTCAAAATGAATAAATAGAAATTAAAAAAAATGATGAATTAAAACTGACAATATATTAACAAGATTTTGTGATTCTAAAGTCTAATAGTGCAAACAAGTTTTTAATCCTAAAAGTTTTTAAATTCTTTAAAGTAGATCTAATATCTTCAACAAAGACCTAATAATTTCATTACGCCCTCCTGAATTAGATTACTCTTAATATTTAATAATTTTTTACATTAAATATTTTTTGTTTTTTAATAAACAAAAAAAATTCTTTATTTAAAAATGATGATGAAATGCGTTTTTTTATAAACCGATTTTAGGTCTTACTTTTTTTTTTGTAAAAGGACTAAAAAATATATAGGAATCAAATTGACGACAAGATATAAAATATGCCATGCCGCACACAAACAATATGGTACATGATTAAAAAATTTTCAAGGATAATTTTTTTCAATTTTTTTTTTCTTG